CTTAAGTGTTCCACCTGCGATATTACGCAATTGGAATCAACAGCTGTCGGTATTCTGAGAATAAATAACTAAATAAAGGAAAAGAAAGAGACTTCTAATCTGGGGTGTTTTTCATTCCAATTTTGAATAGACTGATTTCATTTCCGGAATATAATCATTCTTCGCTTGGGTTGGTAGACCACAGAACTTTTAGTCCTATTCAATCCAGATTGAAAAGTAACAGCAACAACAACAAAAAAAAAAAGTCTATTGCTTGCTTTGCTGCGAACTGTAATGGTTTGAGTATTCGAGATTTTGCGGAGAATGGGGAGGGCCCCAAACTTCCGTACTGTATAATGCATTAAGGGGGGGGGATTTTTTTTTTTGACTGTTCGATTGCTTTCACTTTATTTAAGCCATTCTGAATATTATTCCTTAGAAAGTTCATCTGTGTTAAAACACACCGATTTTTGCAGTTTATCTATACTTCAGCAGTTACTGCAAATATATTATTATAAATATTCATACATATGCTCATAATATAAGCATAATGATCATAATAAATGTGAATATGAACTAACCATGCGGAACGAGAATGCCAATTATTAAAATCTTGATAGAAATTAAAGTGTATAGTCATGGGTGGAAGGAAAATAATATCGAATTCACCAGCATTTTCTACCTTTTTCGCAAGACCAATAGAACGATGTCAGCCGTCTGTATTCGCGTGCACCAAAGGTTACGTTAATACATGAATACCAGAGGGAAGGACTCCATCCCCTGGCTAGCCTCTTTGGGCCTACCTTATACAGATTTAAAGTCGGTTACGTTTATACAGGGAAAGGGGTGAAAAGATATTTCCGGGAGTATGTTTCACCATCTGATGATCCATGTAAGGAAGAAAAGTTGTTTATTTAGTTTCGGCTTTGGTACGAGGAGGAGATGTGAGTTCATTAAAAAAAAAAAAAAAAATAAGTGCTTTAGACAAAAAGTAAGCAACTAAAAGGGCCTTTATATTATATTTTCAACTATAAGGACTTATAAGCACTTGTAAGGACCGTTATGAACCCTGTTAAATATAGTATGTTGAGGGAATACTGGTTCAGAAATGGAGGCCTGTTTTACCCCTGCATAATTGTTCCTTTTACCCTCCTCATATAAACTCTGAAGGCTCCCCACTTTATTTAATTTTTTATATATGATTTTCATTTTTTCATATAATGAAATGTTGTAGTGCAGTTAACAAAGGCCAGTTACCTTATACAGTCAAAAGTCGTTAATTCGGACACCCATAATCCGGAATGATTTTTAATCCGGACCTCAAAGCTACAAACTTTCGCATGCACAAAAATCCAACGCATGCGCAGAAATGACGTAAGACCTTTACGGCTGCAAATATGCGTGTGCGCAAAATACATTTACGAATGCGCGTTTAATGTATAACGGACGGTATAAGCTAAGCTAAAATTATCTAATTCAGTTAATGTTGCAGATTGCGTTGTTCCTTAATCTTCGAATTGGATTCGGCTTATTATTTTTGCAGACTGTTAGAGCAATTTTATAAAAGTAAGTTTGAACTTTCGATTATGTCAAATAGAATTTCTGATATATATTTACTAATATGTAAAGGATCTACAAAGCAAAAGTATGTTTTGAAGTCCATTAAACAAAAAGTGGAATTGCTGCAAAAAATGGATAAAGGCATATCCTTTGTTTATCTGAACTTTAACGTTTGTTTATCTAAACTTTGTTTATCTTTAATGCCGCGGCGGCGCGCAATGAATTGGAAGTTGATCTGTCAGCACTATCCTTATCTTCAGGGCAGATGTTTTTTTATTTTATTTGGCTTATAATTCCCTACTAAATGTAGTATTTCATCTCGATGTACTCTGTCTTTGATATGATTTAAAACAAATTCCTCGTTATTATAATTTGCTTCTGATAGCGAAAAAAGTGACAGAGGTTATTGAAAACGAAAAAATTTCGATTGACAAATTAGTCTATATTCTCAACACAGCAATTTACTTGAACAGCAGAACTTTGTAACTGAACAAGAAATGATGTCTGTTTATAGAATTAAAGAGAACGTATTATCACATAAAAAACGAAGCAACTTAAGCAACTTACATTGAAAGAAATGTTTAATAAAGTAAACAAATAAATATTAAGCTTTTTTTTTGTAAATTTTGATATCCTTTAGATCATAATTGTTCTTTATTTCATAAATTACGGTTTAATATTTTTAATTTTATAATTTCTGCATGCCATCTTACCTGATTTAAACTGATGATCTATAATCCAGAAAAATCGATAATCCGGAATCGCCGAAGTCCCGACGAGACCGGATTAACAACTTTTGACTGTATATAAGGAACGGAGGCCTTTCCAAGTAACTGCTGAGCATCTCTTAACCACTCATGAAAATTTAATACACAAGTTTGTTAAAGTGTATATGCCCAAATAGCAGGATATGTGGGTACTAGGAGAAAGCTGTGGTGTCTTCCAATTTGTGTAAATTAAGAAAATTGTGAAAAGTAATACTAAAAAAGTAAAAACCATAATTTCAGTAATGCTATTACAAATGATAAAATATTACTTATAAATGTTAAAATTAGTATGATGTAAAGATTTATGATTATTCGGAATAATTAATAGGTATATAAAATTTTTATAATTGTGATATTGTGTGCAAAAATTTTTGGAAATCCTTCGCTGAAGTATCAATATTGATGTGAATGTTCCAGAAACAAGAACTTCTTACAGATAGGACTCAAATCTTAATAGTATTCTAAAAATGTGCAATTGTTTTAAAAGAATATAGTGCTTAAAATTATTATTGAATTCAAAATTTTATAACGTATAATTTTTTAATTGTTCAAAGGTTAATTTTATGTTTTGTATTTTCAAAATTATAGCTCTCATATTTTGCTGCTCTAATATTTTGCTCTCAAAAGGCTTCTCTATCACTCTGCCTTTTTCTCTTTAAAGGGGGGAATGTGTAAGATAAAAAATATGAAAGCAACTTCTAATTTTAATTGGCTATGATCTCTTTTATTTTTCACTTAATTTGAGAACTTCTCTCTATCTTAAAAATAGCAATAGAAGTCTAAACTGCATCATTCAAATTAATCATGCGATTTTACATAATGCTTAATGCAGATTCCTCTTGACCAATCACCAAATTCTAAACCAAAACTTTTTTAACTCGATCTGAAAGTTTTTGACACCCTCCCTTCTACCTCTGAATTCTGTGACAATTTTGTTTACGCTTTCCTCCTGGAAAAATGCTCCTGCGCTATGTGCTGCTATGCATTCCTGTCTAAGATGACATCTTGCTTTTTAACCTGTGTATATAAAAATTATTGTAATTATGATCAAAAAGTATATTGCCTGTAAAGAAATGATTTTAATGTGCCTAAAAATAAAGATGGTGATTCACCGAACTTAGTTTTGTCAACGTCTTCTTCCTGCCTTTCCACTCAGCCATCATGAGTACACAGTAAAATATGACATATATATATATATAGGTATGTGTATGTTTGTATATATGTATTTGTGTTTGTGTGTATATATATGTGTGTGTTGTGCGTGCATATATATATGTGTGTATATATATCGTAGTATATATTTAAATTTAAATTTAAACAAATTTAAATTCTAAACAAATATGTATAAAAGTAAAAAAGTAGAAAAACAAATTTAAATTCCTAAAAAAGGAAAAAAGCCAAAATAATTTTAAAAAATTTAAAAATATGCAAACATGTAAAAGATTTAATTCTCGAACTAATCTACAATATCATTTAAATTCAGAAGCATAAGCAAATCAAGTGTAAAATCTACCCATGAAAATAAATCTACTAATTTAATACATTAAAATTAAATTAAACAATTTTTTTTTAAAATGCATATGTGAATGATCGTAGAGTAGGCAGGAGACAGACTTATCAAGGGGAAGTTGCCTCCAAACCTAACTCTCCAATCATTCAATTCGAGTTTCGTCATTCATGTAGGCAAGGGTAAAGTCAAAACAAAAAGTAATTCCAATAAAGTGGTACCCTTAGAAATTAACATTTAAGAATTAAGTTCAAAAAGGAAATACTAATTAAGTCTTTTGAGAAACAAGCAGTAAAGTCAAGAATTAAAATTTTTCTTAAAAAATGAAAGTTTTTAAAAATTAATTTTTTATAAAATAATAATAAAAAAAAAAATCTAGAAACCAATGTATTTAGAAATCCTTGTCTACATAAACTTCCCCCTACACGAATATGCATATCAATAAAAAGAAACTGTAAAAGAACTATACATAATCCATATAAACCAATAAGAAATAAAAAACAAAAGAAACAAAAAGAACTAATTCACAATTTTAAAAATAAATATATATTTAAAAATATAATTTCATATTTAGAAAATACTTTGATACTACATGAAAAATTTTTAAAAATATACTTAAAGCAAGTAAATAGTAAGTTTTAATTCTAACTTACCTACTATATGAGTGTTGGGGTCTGCAAAAGTGTTGTGAAAGAGAAGTAAGTGTGTTCTTCAAATTATATAGATGGCGCTTATGTAGTTAAAGTTAACTTTGTTTGTAGGTAAAGTTATCTTTGTCAAGCTGTTATCTTTGTTATAGTAAAAAAAAAAATTGTAAATATTAATATTAATTAATTAAATTTAAAATCCTAAAGATAGAAATATTAATTATTTAGGGAGTTAAGTAACTGAGCCAATCAAGAGATGTATGTTTGCTTGAAGGAATAAGGTAGTATATATAGTATTTACATTGTATACATATTGAATGAGTAGCTGATTTATGGTTTACTGTAGTCAGTTACATTTTCATAGATGTTTATACTATTTGGTAACTAAACCAAATTTCTTAAGCTTGAATTGCACCAATGCCATTTTCTGTCACCTAGGCCAATGCAGAAGGCAAGTAGAGATTTTTCTGTCTAAGTTGCTGATAAAAAATACAATCTGACAGACTGAACAAGAAAACTATAAAATATAACAAAACTTACGTGGAACTCCAACCCATCAGTGGATTTTCCCATCGCTGTCTAGTTTCGAATTCCATCTTCCATTTCCGTGTATTAAATGTACCTGACTGCATTGGATTTTTGGCTGGTTTAAATATTCTTACAAGTCTTGTTCTGATATGTTCCTCAGGAACACCAGTTACTGGAGATATATCACTCTGCAAAGAAAATTTAAACAGGTTTATATAGCTTTGCTACAGACACTAATTTTTAATTATAAAGGAACATGTATAGTTGTGAATACAACTGTTTTTTTTACCTCTGCAAAAATTTATGCTAATAAATTTACATAATTTTATATATAAATTTTATTAGATTGTATCAATCTGCATACAAGAAATGTTAAAACAGAAAATAAAAAGTACTTTTTATATATAGTAAAAGCCCTAATATCTGCATTCATTAACCAGAAAACCCAAGCACTGGAATATTTTTAAATTTTAGATCCTCCCCCCCCCAAAAAAAAAAAAAGAAAACCCAAGCAACTGCAAAAAAAAGAATATTCAAAAAGTTTAAATTTTCCCCCCCCCCCCCCCCCCCCCCCCCCCCCCCCCCCCCCCCCCCCCCCCCCCCCCCCCAGATCCTCCCCCCCCCAAAAAAAAAGAAAAAAAAAAGAAATAAGCAAACAAGTGATATTGTGAAGCTTATATAGGAGACTATTGACAAACTGTCTGATTTAGCTTTAATAATCATTAAATGCAATGTCACAATACAATCATAAAATATTTGCCTTGGATTTTTTGTAAACCCATTTATTTCTCAAGAAGCCAGTTTAGTTTTCATAAAGCATATAAGTTGATTGCTATTTTTTTTCCTGCATTAAAAAAAAAGGATTAAAATTTGATACCTTCCCTCTACAGAACAGAATGCAGAGGAGCATTTTCGAAGTTACAAGATCTTCACATCATAAAAAGTGTACATTAATGAGCATGATTTGTAATTTTATTTGAAAACTGATAAATAATTGCAGTATGACATGAAAAAAGCACAATAAACATTTAAAAATTTTTATATGCAATTTCCATAACTTATATCTGTTGATTATCTAACTAAATAAAGAATGATCTCTTTATTTGCACTCCTACCAGAAGTAAGGTGCAAGTTTGGTGGCATTAATAGTTGATTTTATTAACTTTTCTATGCTTAAGACTTATAAAATGCATTGCCTTTTAAGCCTAACTTGTATTTTTTTTAAATGTTACATAATTTTTAAACATAGCTGTTGATATATATTATTTTTAAAAACCTTTGATATTCAAGTTAATGACAAATAAAAAAACCTTATTTTTTATAATTTTAGAGCAAAAATTTCTTTTACTATTCATTTGGCTTTTCTACATGGACTACACTTTATGCACTCGTTTATCTGCAATTTTCCTGGCTTTCCAATAGTCAAACGTTTACTCAGTATTATACTGAGTAGTATTTAGTGGGATTTTTTTTTTTTTTTTAAATAGAAAAAAGATGACAGAAGCATATAGAAATTCATATTTCCTGATTTTTATTCATAGCATCTAAGCATCAGAGAAACTTAAAAATATTTTCATCTACAACTGGAAATAAAATTTAATATGGTAATTGAGAAAAGCAGTAAATCCCAGACTTAATTTATTAATTATTATTTAGAACTGACACATCAGATATTCATTCATTTCTATTTCTAACAATGGAAGAAAGCTCCATTTAAGCACATAACAATCTATATGTATATACAGAGAACATGGTTTATTTGTATGTATTAATTTATTTGTAGGCTTAAATAAAAAAAAACAGTAGAGGGATATTTTTTAACACAATATTTTTATGTTAAAAGTAAAATAATACAAAAATTAACACTTCTGAACAAAGGGGCAAATAAAAAAACTACAAACAAAAATAAAACTATTACAAATGTGAGACATTTTATGCTTACTTTTCATAACATATTTTTTAATCATTAAAATATACTAAAACTAAACAGAAATATAATTTTTTATACAACTCGAGCAATGATTTTAAATATATCTTTTTCATAATAAGAACCACCTATGTTAGTTTTAGGATATATTTTTCGGGAAAAACTTACATTTAAAATTTTGTTTAAGCACTACTGTGCTATAAAGATCCTACAACAAAACCAATGGAGGAAAAAAAAAAAAAAAAAAAGCCTTTGCTAATTTGGTTAATCTTTGGATTCTAGTAACTTGGCGAAAATTTGGCGACCAACCCTGCTACAGCAACCTGCTAGTTTTTGTTTTCATGAAGTAAAGGCACTTTTTTTTTTTTTTTTTTTTAAACTCAACATTTTTTCCCAACAATCTGCTAGCCGAATTACGCTTATGCTAGAACTTTTATGGAACAAAAATGCTTAATCATGACGAAGATTAGGTGCGAAATAGGTGAAAGTGCCGAATCGCAAACTGCTTGCCGCGTTTTTAAGAATTGCACATACACGGTATCCATGTACACGTCGACCTATTTTCACTTAAAAAAACATCCCAGAATTTCACAAAAATAGCATTGCGCACACTCTTGACTTTATCCATGTACACTGCTAAAGTCCTAACTAAAACTTTTATCGCATTACCAAAATGTCGCCAAACTACCTGTTACCATATTCCAAAGATTAGCCGCTAATTTCTACATTATCTGAAATTGCCAACTGCATATATGATTACTATGTATAAATTATTTAGTTTAAGTATACATATAAATTTCAAAATGCTGCTAAAATCTATAAAGTGTAATAAATATTATGAATGCTGTGCAACTGCTTAGAACTAACTGTACTCACAATTACTATTTGATCCATTGATCTGTTAAATTCATTATTAAAGAATTTATCAACTTAAAATTTGAATTTAGATTTAAAAAATGACAAAAATAAATACAATTCCAAAAGATATAGACATGGTACATAATATTACTTACTGAAGCAGGTACTGTAATATTTTGCTGCAATTTTCTCTTCTCTTCTTGCTCTACAGGATCCATTATTGTGGCCTTTACATCTTTGATTGTAGGTTCATTTTTTTTCTCATAAGATATCAAAGCCGACGTAGAAAACCATTTCCTAGTAGTATTTTAAATAAAAACTCAATGGTTCTCTTCAAATTAAGAAGAAATGACATTCATTATTACAGAACATTAAAATTTATAATATATTACAGAAATGGATATTTATACGAATTGTAAACGTTTATCAAATTTAAGTTGCTGTTTTTCTAAGTCATTGTCATTCTGTTTGGAAAGTTTTTTCACAAGTTTTTTTTTTTTTTTTTTAACCACCTAATATATATTAACAGTTTAATTATAAGCAATGCTTGTATAAAGATCATTAAATTATGTGTATTTAGATGTGAGTGTTCAATAATTAAGTTTAAAATTATTATTATTTTCTTTCATTCTTTTTTTTTTTTTTTGCTCTCTCTGATTTATCTGTACTCCCTTGAAAAGTAGTCATGAAGCAATACAGCATGTCACTAAAACATATTAATATGGCAACTCAGGTAGCACAGACAAGTGTAGACTTCCACCTCTAAATTCAATAGCCATTTTTCCAATAAATACCAGTACAAAGTTCAAGATTCGCATTTAACTGGACTTGGGAAATTCTATATTTGGGATTTTTCTACATATTAGATCATCATTTTAAGATGACATATAGAAATTATAAAATACAGGTAGACCCCATAGAACACAGATACCTTTCCCCAAATTACAGTTTCAAACTACAAAATTTTCGAGTAATTCTAGCTGTCCAAACATTGACTCCTTTTCCGTGAGGTCATTTCCTCTGCTGAATAGGAGAGAAAGATTTCCCTTCAGGAAGTAAAAAGTTCCAGGTGTATTTTCTATTCCAAGAGTTTCCTTTTCCAGAAACTACTGAATGACCTTTGAGGGTGAAATCTGATAAAAAATATCTATTTGACCTTGTTTGTACTCATTTGAGTACGTATAAAGTGCAGGAGAACCTGGGTTTTGAATTTTTATTATTTTCAATTAAGTTTATATAAGTTTGATCAATTAATTTCTAGTTTTTTTGAAATCCTTACTTTACAAAACGTCTGCAGAAAATCAAAAGATAATTTGAAAAGGTGTACAATTTCACTTGAAACTAAAATAAAAATTTTCGACCGACTCAAGAAAGAAAAATGATCAGTTGTTGTAAAGACAGAGAAAGATTATTTTGTTCAAAAAGCATCACATAAAAAGTTAACAAAACAGTTCAAATTTCATGACCAAGATGAATTTATCTTTTTGTTACATATATCTTAGCAATTCTCAATAAAAAATCTGTATTCCAGGATTATGAACCAGTCTCAGGCATTTTTATGTATAGCATTGATTATATGAAGATATAAAAAACAGAAACTAACAAAGCTACTTATATCTTCATGCACTGTAAGCTTTACAAAATATATACAGAGGCTGTTCGCACGTTTTGAATGGTTTTCATTATAATTACAGAAATATTTTACCTAAAATTTTCATGTTTTTAATGTTCTAATTGATAACCCTTTATTCTTCACTATCTTTAAATATCATAATTTCCAAGACAATGAAGTCGATACTATACCATAATTATAGTATCAGAAGGGGTATTTTATCCTATTGCTCTCGAACAGCTTTCCAAAGTCCGAGGTTGTATGTTGACGTTTGGACAACCTGTTTTTTAAAAGTTCAAAAGCACAAAAATGGTGATAGATCTGGAGATTTATTAGGGATATGAATGAAGGGCATGGGCTTGATACCTGTTTCTTGTTTCCCAGGAAATTAACAGTAGATTTTGACCTGTCGCTGCTTGCTTTGTCTTGATGCAGTTCTACTAATTGATCAGACTGTGTGTAAAGGGAAGTATCTCATATTTGAAAACTGGGTATGAAATATATTTTTGATAAATGTGGAGGTGATCTTAACATTTTTTTCCACTCTATTTATTTTTAATTTGCCGTTATATAAAAAACAACAACAATCATAAATCCCTTAGCAAACTTTCTTTAATTTCCTTGAGCCATGTTTTAATATTTTTTTCTTTTCTTTGATGATAATAAATGGACGTCTTTTGATTACAGTCATTTAAGTACACCTCACATTCATCTGCTGTGTCAACATTTTTCCATTTTTGTCAGATAAATGTTTCTCATAAAGCATGTTCTGTGATCAGCGATATGCTGTAAAGAAAGACGATGCACACGTTTTTTTGCCTTTTTAAAATTCAAATCAGCATTAATCACTTTGTTTGCAGTTGACACTGACCATTTTAACGATTTTGTAGAAATAACATTAAAGATCTTACTTTAGCAACATTCTGTATTTTTGGATACGTATTTGGAACAACTTTTCAACCTGAAGCTAAATTTTTCACGTTTTTTTACTTTTGTTGTTGACAACATTACCTATGGTAGCTTTAGATATAAAAAAAACCATGGCTCTCACAAAGCTTTTTAATAACTAGATATGAATAATTTTCTTCAGGAAGAACACAAACATAGCCTTTCTTTTTCATCTACTGCTTCTTTAAAAGTGACATTTTGCATGAGAACAAAACTGTCAAGTAGCAGACAATAATTTACACATTAAAAAACATAGCTGCAATAAAAAAAAAGGGGGGTCCAACCTTTTTTTTTTTTTTTTTTTTTTTTTTTTTTTACAGCAAACCAATATCATCTAAAAAATATGCGAACAGCCTCTGTATTAGCAAATTTTAATATAAGCATATCATAAATTAATTGTCTGCAGAATAGATACTATCACATTTTCTTTTCACTGTTAAGTTCATTAGATTAAATATACCTTTTATTCTTCAGTTTGTGAATGACAGATGTAACGTTCATTTAACAAATCTTGTATTACAAATACACTACATCATTTGATAAGTTATTCCCTTTTAAGGTAACATTATTAGAATAACATGGTTGAAATGGTTTAATTGATTAAAAACACAGCAAACAATTATTGTTCTCCTTTCTCAATTATTGTTAATATACATACATTAAATATTTTATTAAAGTTACTTATATAGACATTTAAATTCTTTCAGTAAGTTTTAGCACAACTACTCTTCCTTGCCTAAAGTACACACAACTATTATCAAGAGAGATGCTTCATATATAATGCTGTATGTTTCAGTAGCATAATTAATCTTCTGTATTTGTGGTGTACCTACATTTATAAGTGAAATTTCAATTAAAAAATTAATCATTTAGGATTAAAGTGTAAATAATAATTCCATAAGATTTTTAAGATGCCATTTTTAATGCTGAAAATATATCTTTGTTGCTACTATTGGTAAATAATCAACATATTAAAAGAGCACAAAATTTAAACTACGTCTGAAATCGCTAAGGATGGCAGAGGAAAGTAACGACTCATATCCAATGACTGAGCAAATGTAAGCAAAAAAGGATTTACTGGACGGAAAAAAGTGTGCTCTCAAGAAATATAGTTAATATATTAAAACAATTTGCCTATCCAGCTGCTAATGGTATGACCTTGCATACAGTCACTGTATATCACACGGAAACTGTATTCATATTAAGGTTATTCATAATAAGGCATTAAAACATTCAAAATACTTTTATCAATTCCACAGGACAACGAATTTGGCTTAATCCTAGTATCCGGTGCATACGGGATTTGGCTACTTTTGGCGACTTTATGATGAGCAGTAAAAATGAAACATATACGATAAGTAGTAAACGGGTCATTCAAAGAATGTATATAGTTATACATAGTTATATAGTATGTACTATGTAGTGATAGTGTATAATATATACATAGACGTTCTTTGGGTCATTTTTGGTGTTGGCGATAATTTTCAAAATCGCGCCAAGGCTGCACCGTATACTAGGATTTTACCACGAATTTTTTTTTTCTACAGGATAAATTTTAAAGATCGACTTTTTTTTTAATATAAAAATTATTACAAGCTCAAACTATAAAAAAAAAATCAAGTCTAGATATATGCTTATGATTTTACTATATGTCTCCAGTTTAAAAAAAAAAACAGTTTTGTATTAATTCTGTAACATTTAATAACCTTAAAAGTAATGTTACACATAAACATACAGAGCCAAAAATATTTCATTTCGAGTATGCAAGCATTCATAATATTCAGAAGTTATCATTAAGGAAAATCATGATGTTTCCTTTTATGAAAGGCACACTTTTATTTACCTATTGCTAATAAACAATGAATTTCGAAGCATTGGATACATTTCTGTAAACACAATTTTTGCCATCTTTCATATAACGATTCAAAAACAAATATCACTATCGTATCGGTATAAGAGATTGCAAATATTAACCGTCGGACGTTTAATAACTTCTTAAAATATTTTTCAATGCTTTCTTATTTGTAATTTTAAAATAAAAATTATTAAAAGTCACTATAAAAATGAGTTATTGCTTATTATTACGAAATCATCAGAAACTATTGGTCTGACGGATATTTCCGAACTGTCTGTCTGTCAGTTTCTGGTTATGACGAAAGAGTTTGCAGCAGCTTCACTTTTGTTTACATTGCAGAGAGTCATTAATTTAATTTGTAAAAGCAGTTAATAACTGTGATTGTGTAATTTAATTAAGTATGAACAAGTGACAATGTTATGAATGTACTGAAACCTAAAATAAGACAGTCATCAAATGACGTACTGTCGATTTTTTATTCTTATCTGCTCTGAACGAAAAGAAAATCAGGGTTTATATGCCCGGTAATTTTCACTTAGCCGGCAAATAATGATTAACCACGTTTTTTTATCTCCAGCCACTACGTTCAAACTAAGCTACGTTGCATTTCGCGCTGAATGAGAAGCTTGCAAAAGAATCTAGTTTTACAACATAATTAACTATGAATATTTTATATAATTTCTCAACATTTTTACTGTATTTTTTACATACTTGTCAATCAACATTCGGGAATGACGATGATGACCATTCTCCGGAAGAAGAACTGTATGGAGTAAAATACGCTGGAGATTGCGAAGGTATAACTTGTGTTTGCGGTACATAATAGTAACCTCTGAAAATTTAGGTTTTTGTTAATTTTGTTTTTGTGTATAGCTGCTGGGTTTGAACAAATGAATAAGGTAAATACTGAAATGGTAACTTTCTGTAAGAAATGTACTGAAATAGTGAAGAATTGGCAAGAAATAGTGAAAAATTGTTATAACAATTCAAAATAGAAAACTTATTAGCAAATCTTTCCATTTGTTAAAAAAAATAATTTAAATATTTTTAACTGTAAAAAGCAAAGCTAAATTGAGTATGTTTCGAAAAGAAAATTGCAAGGATATTTTGGGATATAAAATTTTTATTACATTTAGGAATTTCTTAGTATTCATAGTATTTAATGCTTACCAGACAGGACCTGGTTCAAGACCCCCTATTTGTACTGGACTCTTTCAGGGTGAATGGGCTCACCTGATCTAGCTCTACTGGTCACAGGGATGAGAAACAACAACAACAATGTGAATCAAATGCGTAAAATACATTTTTGTATACAGTTACTTCAAAAATATTTATAGAAATTGGAAATTTTACTTTTAAGAAAAAAATATCAATTTCACGTTAATGCTGAATGTTAAAAGAGTGTCCCATTTATTTAATTTGGAAAAATGTTAATTTTGTTTTGTTCAGAAAAATCGATTCTCAAAGTTCTAATCTTTTTGAATATCATTATAATTCTGTGAATGAGAAAAACTAATTGTATTTAAAAAAAAAAGCAAACCAAGTTGGCTGATCTTTGGAATATGGTAACTGGGAGTTTGGCGACATTTTTGAGGCGATAAAGATTACTACCTGGGACTTTGGTAATAATGTGAGAAGTACTCAGTTCCGATTACACATTATTTTGTGTGAGGGAAATGAGAGATCATGAGATATGTCATGTGACATTAATGGACGAATTACGGTTCTTTAATCGGAAAAGGGGGGGGGAATTTGGAAAACTGTAGTACTATATTATTTTGTATTAAGCTTCATTGTGTGTTGTGTGAAATAGTGGAAGTGTGCGTGCCACGTAATGAAGATTCGGTAAGTTAGTATTTTTAATCATTTGAGGATATATTTTTTTATGCATGTTCTAAATGTAGGAGTAAATAAATTTATATGGTATTATTGGAAAATTGTTATTAGCAATGATTTAGTTTAAAGTAATTAGGATTGTAATCTAATTTTTATTAATTTCATGTATGTGCTTATTTATATTTTAAGTAGTGTTTTTTAATTTAATTATATTTTAATTTAATGATCGTGATTTTGTGAGTTATATGTGTGTAGTATTTTGGAATACGTTGAGTATTTTCATGCATTTTCGTGAAATTTTTCTAATGTATGAGAAAAAAGGGTACTTTTCCGTTTCGCCGGCGCAAATTTCGCCAAGCAGACTTTATTGACGAAAACATACAGTGTACACATAAAAAATGTTAACAAATGTTAGTTCTAAGCATTTTTTTATTTTGAAGGCATAAGCATTTTAATATGGTCTAAAATTTTGTAAAAAGCCAATAAATAAACACAATAAATTTGTAAAAAGATATTAATTTAAGAATTTACTATGCTTTCATGGTTCAACAGCCTAATTCGCCTTTTCGTATCACCTGACTCCAAGTGATCTCATCTCACGTAAACTACACTGAAAAATCTAATTCTCTCAGTAATTATCTACATTAATTTCAAGTTAAATCTTAATTTCGAATACAAGTTTAAATGCAAGAATTATTTCACTTCGTACCTATAGCTTACTCAGAAATTATGTAAAACTGCAGTGCTTTACTTCACTAGTGCATTTTCATTAGAATGGATGAATTTAATATTTAACCTTGCTTTTTCTGTATTTTCGCCTTCGGGTGAGCCGTATGATTGCATCCTAATTGACTATATTACCATGAATGGCCTTAGGGCATAAAATAGAACTACTTGGTAAAAAATCTATGTAATTAATTATATGCCACTATTGAAAGAAACAATCAAGCTGATAAAAAATGGCTGCGAATTGTTTTGAAAATGAAGGTGTAAAAGGTTACCAGCAAGGATATTACGTTTGGCATCAATTGTACCATTATTGGCGACTTTAACGCCTGCGCCTGGTAAACGGAAAAGTACCGAAAAAAGCTGTGTACATGGATATAGTGAAGAGTGTGCGCAATCCCATTTTTGTGCAATTCTGGGGTGCTTTTTTATGTAAAAATAAGTCGACGTGTACATGGTTTAGTGATATTTTAATTAAATGATAGTTATTTTGTGAATTTTATGTTTGTAGGAATTTGGTATACGTTTTAGTTGAAGTAAACGTGCATGGAAGTAATTTAAATATTTGACACTAAGTATTTGTAACCATTTGTAATGTTTGCGGTATGAATTCGTTGGTGACGTTTATAATATACAGTCAAAAGTCGTTAATCCGGACTCGTCGGGACTTCGGCGATTCCGGATTATAGATCATCAGTTTAATTCTGGTAAAATGGCATGCAGAAATTATAAAATTAAAAATATGAAACCATAATTTACGAAATAAAGAACAATTATGATCTAAAGGGTATCAAAATTTACAAAAAAAAGCAGTTGATCTTTACAATATGGTAACTGGTAGTTTGGCGACATTTTGGAGGCGATAAAGGTTCCTACCTGGGACTTTGGTAATAATGTGAGCAGTACTCAGTTCCGATTACGCATTATTTTGCGTGAGGGAAATGAGAGATCATGGGATATGTCATGTGATATTAATGGACGAATTACGGTTCTTTAATCGGAAAAGGGGGGAAATCGGGAAAAAATCTTTAAATTTTGTATTTAGCTTTATTCTGTGTTGTGTGAAACAGTGTTGGTTAATTTTTGGATACCATGCCCCTAACTAAAGTGAATTTGAAGTGGGTATTTAGGCATTTTGTGATAAAGAGAAGTTTGCTTTTTATTTAGCGGAGGAAGTATGGAGGAAAAATTCGCAGAAAAAAATCTTTCAATAATTTTATTGAATGAATTAGAAAAGTGTATTCGCCACATAATCAAGATTCTGAAGAAGATTAGGTAAGTTAGTATTTTTAATTATTTGAGGATATTATTTTTATGCATTGTTCTAAATGTAAGGTGGAAAGGAATTTGGTATTATTGGGAAAATTTTTATTAGCAATGATTTAGTTTAAAGTATTAGGATTGTAAGGTAATTTTATTAATTTAATGTATGTGCTCATTTATTATTTTAAGTATGTTTTTGAATTTAATTATTTTTAATGAAATGATAGTTATTTGTGAATTTATGTTTGTAGGAATTTGGTATAAGTTTTAGTTGAAGTAAACGTGCATGGAAATAATTTAAATATCTGACACTAAGTATTTGTAATGGTTTGGTATGAATTCGTTGATGACGTTTATAATATAATAGATGATTTAGAGGTAAAAGTTTTTGGATATTTTATTTATTTTATATGTGGAAATGTTCATATTTGGAAAGGGTAAATATTCTTTTTTCGCGATCAGGTAATTTCATATATGTTCTTTTTACCGGGTTTAAAGATTGAGAAAATTGTCATGTATTTTCGTGAAATTTTTCTAATTTAAGAGAAAAAAGCAGTGTACATGGATATTAGTGAAGAGTGTGCGCAATGCCATTTTTGTGCAATTCTGGGATGTTTTTTTTTAAGTAAAAATAAGTCGACGTGTACATGGTTTAGTGATATTTTAATTAAATGATAGTTTTATTTTGTGAATTTATGTTTGTAGGAATTTGGTATACGTTTTAGTTGAAGTAACGTGCATGGAAATAATTTAAATATTGACACTAAGTATTTGTAATGGTTGCGGTATGAATTCGTTGGTGACGTTATAATATAATAGATGATTTAGAGGTAAAAGTTTTTGGATATTTTATTTATTTTATATGTGGAAATGTTCATATTTGGAAACGATAAATACTTTTTCGCGATCAGGTAATTTCATATATGTTCTTTTTTACCGGGTTTAAAGATTGAGAAAATTGTCATGTATTTTCGTGAAATTTTTCTAATTTATGAGAAAAAAGCAGTGTACATGGATATAAGGAAGAGTGTGCGCAATGCCATTTTTGTGCAATTCTGGGATGTTTTTTTAAGTAAAAATAAGTCGACGTGTACATGGTTTAGTGATATTTTAATTAAATGATAGTTATTTTGTGAATTTTATGTTTGTAAGAATTTGGTATACGTTTTAGTTGAAGTAAACTTGCATGGAAATAATTTTAAATATCTGACACTAAGTATTTGTAATTTGCGGTATGAATTCGTTGGTGACGTTATAATATAATAGATGATTTAGAGGTAAAGTTTTTTGGATATTTTATTTATTTATATGTGGAAATGTTCATATTTGGAAAGGGTAAATACTTTTTCGCGATCAGGTAATTTCATATATGTTCTTTTACCGGTTTTAAGATTGAGAAAATTGTCATGTATTTTCGTGAAATTTTTCTAATTTATGAAAAAAGCAGTGTACTGGATATAGTGAAGAGTGTGCGCAATGCCATTTTGTGCATTCTGGGATGTTTTTTTAAGTAAAAATAAGTCGACGTGTACAGGTTTAGTGATATTTTAATTAAATGATAGTATTTTGTGAATTTATGTTTGTAGGAATTTGGTATACGTTTAAGTTGAAGTAAACGTGCATGGAAATAATTTAAATATTTGATACTAAGTATTTGTAATGCTTGCGGTATGAATTCGTTGGTGACGGTATAATGTAATAGATGATTTAGAGGTAAAGTTTTTGGATATTTTATTTATTTTATATGTGGAAATGTTCATATTTGTAAAGGGTAAATACTTTTTCGCGATCAGGTAATTTCATATATGTCTTTTACCGGTTTTAAAGATTGAGAAAATTGTCATGTATTTTCGTGAAATTTTTCTAATTTATGAGAAAAAAGCAGTACATGGATATAGTGAAGATGTGCGCAATGCCATTTTTGTGTAATTCTGGGATGTTTTTTTTAAGTAAAATAAGTCGGCGTGTACAT